ACCAGCCGCTCCCGTCTCGAACTCGAACCCATCTATGAGAGAGGCAGAACTGAGTCCACGTTGATGACATCCAATCATTGAGCGCGGAAATGGCGGAAAACTGTTGTCCCGTTTCGCAGGTTTATGCCATTCTTCAGTTTCTCTTCGCTGTTCCACCCTCCCCCCCCCACTTAGAACCTCTTCCTCCATCCCTAACGGTAGAGCAGTTGACCGTACCGCCAATCCTTCTTTCAGTCTTGTCTTTAGAAACAGCGAGCAGATTACTGGGTGACCCTTAGGAGAAAAGCTTGACCAGTGGGAATGGTAGGCGCTAAAAAAGAGCGAGTGGTGTTTTACAAGGCAAGAGGTGCCCTGGTTCCAACAGAGTGTGGCTGCTTCGCCTCTAACCGTCCTACCCCCAAAGCAACAACCCCATCAAGTTGGTGGGGTAACAGCGTTTGATGATGAAATTGGGGATGTCCAGCAGACTAAAAATGGAAAAATAACCTAAGGAAATCCTTGAAACAAGGAAGGGCGGAGCTGGACGAGTTGTACGAGTTTGCTTGCTCCTTGGCTCCACTAACCCGCTCGTTTTTTGAATCAGCGCTACGCGTAATCCATGTTGCGGGTCGTGGGTGTGTGCGAGGTATCTCGTCCGAAGCTCACATTATTCGCCATCAGATACATTTCGAAGCCATTATCACATTCGCTTTCTAAGGCCTTACCATATCATCATAGTTGTCCAGCTGCAGCGGCTCGAACGTGAACGCCATTGCCACACACGTTCGAGCCGCTGCAGCTGGACAACTATGATACTCCGACTGTCCGCTTCTCCCACCACTAGAATAATTTCTCAACACGACTTCATGTGTTGCTTTCGAATGTACTTTAGTATTTGTGAATTATATTTATTTGCGTTCGATTAATTTTTATTTTGGAAATATATTTGCACCAAAAGCACATACTGGGCTATATTATGATCTGTGATATTTTTTATTCCATTGCTGCACGTTCACCCAGAGGACTAGCATCTAGCCAGGGAAGTCTTTTAGGACGCTGAGCGTTATTTTCAAAACGATTTTTTGTATGTTGTAGAGGCGCGATGGCGAAGTATAATACTCAGAATTATTTTTCGAGCAGGTCTGGGTATGCCAATGAAATGTGTGGGAACCATTGCTCGTGACACAGTTCTCCCTGTGGGCAAAATTTTGCATGTCTCTGATTTTCACCACTGACTGAACAAGACCTGATCAGCAATTATTCTACGCTACAAGTGCTTTGAATATGTTAATATGTAGAAGATTCACTTCCGTAAAGAAGTTTTCTACCCTTTTTCTGGGATTCCCGAATTACGCTCAGAAAATTTGCCATCATTTTTACGCTCCACGCACATGCCCCGACGAAACACAGAAAACCGTTTTGCAAAAGCACTCTGCGTTCTAAATGGTTCTTTTAATGAGCTGTAAACTTGTCCAAAGTCAGTAGACAGTGTGGGGGTCCCATTTCTCGGGTACATGGTGGCTTATTCAAGTTTTTCATCACTGGCGCACCATTTGGCACCTCTTCTGCAATATTCGCCATCAATATCGTAATCGTGGTCTTTGACAGTAAGCGCTTTTTTCTAGGACCCTTTGATAATGAGGCAAGTACTGATGTTGCCGTTTTGTGGAGAACGATCTTCGTCTCATCTATGTACTGGAATAGCTAATCATGAAGAGAATAGCGCTGAAGCGTTCTCATTAAAGAAACGGTTACCTTCGAGTAAGCATTTCAGTTTTATTCATTCTGATTATTGATCAATTTCTCTGTCATCCATTTGTTATGCTCCTTCATTTCAGCATAGATTGTGCACTTGCAAAGGGAATGCTTTTGAGTGGGAAGACTGAGGGCCTCAAACTTTTCGAGCAGGTGAATTCATCTTAGCATTTGCAGCCTCAATTCTCTTTGAGATCCTAGGGTAGTTCCGGAAACCCTGTTTTAATTTTAGCTGCTTGGTCGTCTCTGCCGTGAAAATACAGCCAGTGGCGATCTACTTTTGGGCCAGTTGAACGATCTCCTTGACTTTGACAGTGCCGCGAACAATCCTGAACGTTGTCTATTCAAAACTACGTTCTTATGGAGGCAGAGGTTGGTAAAACGGTGTCCCTAATGGGTGTCGTAGTTTTTACTCCTTGCTTATCTTTCTTTTGCTCTTATACCTTTTCGAAACTTCAAAGGAAACTGGTAATTTTATAAGACAGTAATATTGTTCACCTCTTCCAAAGGTTGAAGTCAGCTTTCACCTCGAATCCGAAGGGAGCGTGGTTGGGCAAATGTCTCTATACGACCCTTGCCACTCGTTGAATTTGTTTGAATCGTTATCCCGATCACGGTAGTAGCGGTATGGCTTTCGACGGTTTTGAGCTGAGTATTTGGCCCTTTGAAACTAACTTTCACATCTAGGGCCGATTTGTGACAGAATAATCCTGTGAGTTCCGTAAGTCTAAAGAGGTGTCGTTCCACAAATCTCTTCGTTCATAGTTTTCATGGAAACTACGTGGGAACAAATTTTGGAGTCGTTGAAGTCGCTAGATCCACCCATTGGCCGCTTCTCTCATTTCAAAATCGGCTTTCTTGTCTGGTTCATCTTATGCTGTTGTCATCTTGACTAACCTTCTGCAGAGTGGGGTCAACTATTGAGCCGGGCAGATTCTGGGTGCCATAGCGGCCCACTCGCTCTTCTCTCCTCCCCACGCCGGGTATCTCCATACGACCTCTCCCACTCCTAGATTGAACATTGATGTTACCAAGAGAGAAATACTACAAACTCTTGTTCCTCTTCACACTGCACAGCTTTCTTCTGTTATGAAAAATGCAGGCTGATTTGAATTCTGCGAATCTTTCGCTTACAAGTGATTCCTAAGTTTTTAAATATCCCTCAAGCAAGGAAATCTCGTTATTTGGATTGACTTGGAAAATGTTCAAGAAAATGCATGTTTTTCTCTTTCAATGACATGACAACTTTTCTCAAAGCGCTGTTGAGTAAAGCGATGAGACATTTCAAGAAAAGTGAATTATTGTTAAAAAGCGCAAAAGCTAGTTTTTTTGGTTTGTTTTATAATAATTGAGAGTCAAAACTTAAAAAGTCGGGCTTTGCATTTTTTCCGAGTTTTGCGTTTGGCATAGGAAACTGCAAGGCTTATGTTTCCTATTTACAGGGTGCGCCAAAATTACTTGCTTAGATTTCCGCCTTTGTAGGAACTGTAAAACGGTAATTGAGGGCTCGTTTCCTAACAGAAGTTTGCGAATGGAGTGCCATTTCGCATCTCAAAGCTTCCCTCTCAGAACGAGTGCTAGCCATTAATTGGGAAAAATGTCGTCCACCGTGGCGTGTAGGTGCTCCGAAAAAATTTCCTCTCAAGTTTGAGCAGTTTCTTGATCTGGACTCCGACCGGATGGTGTTGTTACAAGCACGCCTTGCTCTCTGAAAAGCTCAAGGCAAAGACAACTCCTTGGCAGGATGCTCAATCTTTGAGGTGTGAAAACTAAGCTCTCCTTGAGCAACATTTCACCGAAAAAGGATACTCGATGACGCGCTGACGTAAACATTCGAAGAGCATCCTGGAGTTCTCGACTTGCATTACCTTCATGAGCGAAGAATGGAGTGAGGCAAATGTCAGCTGGGGAGTCCGAGGCCATAATTTTTTCTCATCAATATGTTTCAATTTGTTTGAAAAATAGTTTTTTCCAGCTTTTTGACAATGTTTCTTGACGATCTCATCGAGTTGAGTTGCACTGTTTCTCGTACCACTCCAACAGTTTTAGTGGAAGCTGCAGAGGCTGGTGTTCGCCATTCTCAGCGCAATTTCATAGCTCTAAGGTCTTTTTTCATTTTTTGACAAACTCCAAAGTTCTACTTCGAACTTATTTTGGCTCTTGTTTTCTTTCAGAGATCAAGCACGCTGAACAGGGGTGATCTTGAGGAAAAAATCCAACAATTTTTAGATATGTCTATGCGAATGAGAGTGCGGATTGGAAGCGAGTTGGAGACCAGGGTCAACCCTATCGTTGTTACTCTTCGGAAATTTTTTACGACCCCCCCCCCTTCAGGGGTGGTTTGATACGACCCCCCCCCTTTGTATGTAACACTTGTGTAGAGACAGTGTTTACCATCAATATTTATTTAAAGATGAAACTTTAGCAAAATCCACGACAGAAATTCATCGCTGCTTGCAAACACGAAAAAATGAGATGCATTCAAAGATATCCGTGTGTTCCAAAGGGTTACCAAACTAGGGGACGAAAATAAACTGAACGAGTGACCGGAATATTGACAGTATTACCTGATAAAAACTTATAAGAAGTCAGAAAAATTATCGCTCCAATTGAAATACTGAAATCCTTCACGTTCTTCAATTGCAACACAATTTTTACACCCCTCTTTCTAAGGCTATAACTTCCTTCATATTCGAGCTTCTGCGCCGAAGTGATTTGATTTGGAAAATTCAAATTATTCTCTCTCCAACCATGGGTAAAAATTCTTCGAAAGTTAATTTAGTAAAAATTTTGTACGTTGTTACTTTTTTCTGTGCAAAAGCGACTTTTTGACCTTCAAACGATCATAACTTCCTTCAAAGTCATTCATTTGGGAAGCTGAACACGTATAATAAACTACAGGATTCAAGCTTTCTAACGAGCACCCAAGCGTTCCTGAAAGATCAGTAGTTCAAAAATTAGTCCCGTTGTTACTTTTTTGGGGGTTTGCGTTACTATTTTTTTGGAACCGCGACTTTTTGACCTTCAAACGATCATAACTTCCTTCAAAGTCATTCATTTGGGAAGCTGAACACGGTATAATAAACCACAGGTTTCAAGCTTTCTAACGAGCACCCAAGCGTTTCTGAAAGATCAGCAGTTCAAAAATTAGCCCGTTGTTACTTTTTATTTTGAGGGGTATTCTTCAAGCCATTTTCTCGAAAACGCGAGTTTTCTTAGGTTTCACTGCCCGTAACTTCTTGGAAGACCAATTTTATGTTTAATTAAGGATGTGCTAGAAAGCTCCGAGCATGCGCTTGCACTACATCCCTTGCCTTGGTGCGCGCCACGCCTCGGGCGCCCTTCTAATTCGCTGATTCATTTGAAAGCTCATTTAGAGGGAATCGTGGTTTATAGATGCTGTATCAGTCATCTTACGAAAACGTAACGTGCTGGCTATTATCCGATATTACCAAGAATCCCACTGTCGGCCACCGAGAGGGTACGACCCCCCTCCCTCCAAGCTCAACTGAGTACGACCCCCCGTTGTTACTCGTAACAACGTAGGGTTGACCCTGGTTGTAGAAGCGAGGTAAACAAAAAGACTGCAGTGTCACCAATTGCCTGGGTTCAGTGAGCTCCCCAAGTGATGATGTCAGACAAAGCTGGTTGTGCTAGGATGGAATAATTTAGCGTAACCCATGTATTTTCTTTAAAATTGTTCGTGAAAAAGTTTATAGGCGTCGACAGAATCGTTGTCGTCTATGGAGAAATCAGAAAATGGATATGAGAATCAAAAATTCGATCTCTTCCGTATCATTCCAGTTCACTCTGAGGTCCAGAAACGTTGAACCCGGAACACGTTTTTTTTTTGTTGAAATTGGAAGTGAACATTGGATTGGTCAATAACTTGTTCTTAGTATGAGTCATGCATTCAGCATTCACGGAGAGCAAATGGACAAAGCGTGTCTACATAATAACGACATGTAGGTACATAGTGCTGTACTACTTGACCTAAGTAATTACATAAGACACCCTATAACTATGGTGCTTTTGCAGTCCTCATTAGGGCAGTAGCGACGACCAATTTCCCAAATACTACGGTTTTCCTCACCCACCACTCTTCATCAGTCTTAATATAAATACCTGTTGCGCATCCCGTTGCCAACTCTGCTCGCTACACCACTCCCTCTTCCCCTCATCACTTCTCCTCTCCCACCCCCCAGTGAGTCAATCGCAACCCCCACTAGTGGTGATCGTGTACAAGGCTGTTATTCCTACAGTCAAGATCCTTTGTTCAGACAACTCGAATTTCTTGTGGAGCAATGAAAGCCTATTTGTAAAGAATTTTTAAAGCCCACAAAAATTATTCGTATCTTGAGCAAGAATCTTCCAGCTTCACCTTAGCCTCTGTAATCGTCTTTCTCGGCAAAGCTAAGAATAATCTTCAGTAGATGATCACCAGCAGTCTCACTTATGTTGCTACGGTACTTCAGTAGCATTGTGCTGACCAATACGAGTTATTTATGCTGAACTTTCTACGGAACATTATTCACTGTTGCGATAACTTTAATCTTTCTCTGCTCTTCGGCTCTGTTCT